GGAGGCCCCCCCCCCCCCCCCCCTGCCCTTGCAGGAGCGTTAACAAGGGGGTTCGACCTCCACCTGTGCAGAAGCAACCGCCGCAACGGAACCCATCGAGCGAACCAACCAGCTCCAAACCCAGCAGCGGCGGAAGACTGTGGCAAGGCGTTTAGGAAAGCATGTACACCTGCACGAAGCACACCCACACAGCATACAAACACGTAGCTTGCAGGAGGTGTATCACCACCGCTGCTGCTGCTGCTGCTGCTGCACAGCCTAAGGGGCGCCGCAGGTACATGCCGCCGACGTGCAGTTTCTTCGTTCCCAGAGCTCCTCCTACCCCCACCATTTTTTTGGCCAGATCGGCGTCGACGTCCTTGTGATCGACCCCGTGTTCGCCTTCATGTTCATATGGTACACCGGGCTCATCGAAGGCCGGTCCGTGCAAGGCGAGATACTCCCCACCATTGTGCATCACTACCCGACCCTGGTGCTGTGGCTGGTCGTCATAGGCGTGGGCTGGGCTCCGGTCCAGATCTACCTCTTCAATCGCTACCCGGTCCAGTAAAGGGTGCTCACGGCTGATCTGATCGACCTCGTGTGGACCTTCGTGTCGAGCTTGTTCTCTCACGCTAAATAAGCCGGTCTCGAGGTCGGCAGCGTGGCATTTAGCCTGTGCGTGCGTATGTGTTGTGTGTTTTCTATTATTTGCATGTGTGTGCCTGCACTAACTGCCAGACAGGGTTAGGGTTACGGTTACGGTTAGGGCTAGGGCTAGGGTTTCGGCATTGCCAACTGATCGAACGGTGAACCTGATGTAGATGCTTTCGTTAGCCTTTGAAAAGCGACGAACCTGGACGCACCTTTGCGGGGCTTTTAGCCCCTAGCACATCGCTAGCTCCAGATTGTGTGCGACAAGGCCTTGTTTTAATCGGTGTCAGGACCAGTCACGCCGGCATGGATTCTGCCCACTCCCAAAGTAGGACTATTGTCCGGCGTGACGCGATTAGCGTTACTTCTTTCCTAGTTGGTTTGGTTTTCGTTGGGTGAAGTATTGTATGCATACATTGTTGGAGTGACCCCCGGAAAGCACTGCCCACAAAGTTACTGCCATGTGCCGCATGGTCTCTGGTGTGCAGCGTAGAATAATGCGATTTTGCACTCGAGCACGATATTTGTCGGCGAATGTACCTTGATCTTTTTGTATTATCTCATTTTCGTTTCTTTATTGAGGAGTATATTTTGGTCCTGAAATCACAATAGTTTTTTTTTGAGTGGTTCATTATACTTATAAAGACCGTTTCTTTGTCGTTGTCAGGTCTCTAGGTCCCACCCTCTCTTGGTAAAAGGTGTGTTCTATGTCCCAAAGTTTTTTTTGTGTTTGGAGAAGGGGTTGCAGACTTGTCATGATTGTTATCAGGTGTATGATTGACCTTGAGTGCTACACGCTGGAGTGCATGCGTGTGTGTTTGGAAAAATATATGCTTGGGCGGCGGCCCTGGCCCTGATGTGATTGTTTGTGTTAGTGGATGTGCTATCGAACGTTTTTGATAACAACATGATTGTGATTGGGTGTTCAGCAGTAATGGAGCAACAAGTCCATGAGTATCGTACAGAACGCTGACGGAGCGTTGCATGAGAGCTTAATGGATACTTTTACATTTTGGTTGGATATGGATTTTTACCGTCGTTTGGGTATTTTTTGCAGTAGCTTGAGGGAAGATGATCAAATCCCAGCCCCGCTCACGCACTCTCGGAGTGAGCGCTGAGCGGACCTGGTCTAGCAGGCCAAAACATAAGATCAAACAACAACTTTGAGTACCCGAGACTAGGAGCAACGGACTTGATCCCGTGCCGTGCATAACAGTATTCTCCAGGAGAACCCAGAACCCAACCTGGTGTTGGACTCGGGGTATGGTCGGCTCTAAGTGTGCTTCTTTGATGAGGGCGAAAGCGATCTGACGCAGGAGAGAAGGTGACTGTCTCAGTCGAATCTAACTGCGTGTAGCAGAGTATTCCTAGGAGGTGACAGTCTCTTGTAGGTGAATGGTGACTAATACGACCAGTTGAAATGAACGGCCTGCCGTTGCGATCGTACGCAGCGCTTCGTGACACTTGCATTACAGAAGACTACAGCAAGAATGGCAGCAACAGTTGACCACTTTTCGTCGCCTGGGAAAGCACAGAGAAAGCACAGCCCGACTCGTTTATTTTGAACCCTCAAAACAGGCCCCGCCTTGGCTTCGTCGGGATAGGGGCGAAGCTCGAGCGTCGTTCGACATGGGGGAAATAATCGTTGCACTCTGGGCGCTAAGGCTTGACGCTTGCTCTCTCTTTCAATGTGCAAACCCGACTCTCTCGTGAGGGGGCCGCCACGGCTTTATGGGACAGCGCATGCCAGACCCGTAGCTGCGTCTCAACTGATATTTTTTCGCAAAACATGTTGACGCTGAACATCGGCTTCGGTGGGCTTGCCCACGTGAGCAACGTGACGTGCTGCCGTATGATACGTTCCTTTAACGGGTGTCTCCACTTTGGGAATTTCGCCGTTTGGGGCCATGCATTGTGATGCCGGAGATTGCTCACTGACTTGTATTCCCTTCCCTCTGCCTAGTAATTTCCTCTGGTGTTTTCCTCTAGTGTTTTCGTTCCGGTGATTTAGGCCCCACGGGTTGTGTGCCCGATGGACCCCCGCCGGATTGCGCTGCTGCGGGGCCACACGTCGGTCTCTCGTTCTCTAATGGAACCCTGCTCGAGGATGCTCGCTAGCCTTCCCGAGCTTTTCGGATTTCTTCTCAATTGGTCTGACAGTGCTTGCACGTACATGCAACGAAACCACGGTTACGGTTACGGTATGTAAATAAAAATGCGCGTGCAGCCTCTCTTGCCGAAACTCGCTCAAAATCAGGCCGGCACGTTTCATTGCTCCGGCCCGTTCATGAGCCGTCGTGCACAAAGAAAGGCAAATGATGCCGGAACTGTCCGAGAGGACCGTCGGGAAATCCTAAAGACACAAAGTGTACGGCCGCCAAGCTCTCACTTTCCGACACTTAATCCATAATCCGAGGAAGAGGGAGTAGGGGGCCTCAGGGGGAAGAGCCCTTGTGCATGACCACGGATTGCAGCGCCGATACCCGACCGAAAATACTGTGAGCTCTGACATCAAAAAATAGATGAACAGCAAGAACAACCAGTCAGTCTATGCGAGAATTGTTTTTTGCACACAGTCACGGAGGAGGGGATCTTCCTTGGCGATCATGGGCGGGGCCACCAAAGGCTCGAGGTTAGTATCTAGCAGAGTAGCAGGCGGCGCAGCAATGCTGACGTGTGTGTGCTCTGCCAACAGCGGTTGCTAGACACTGCGGCGGCAGCGGTCGTAGGCGACAGTAACAACTACACTGGCGGCTGCGGCGGCTTGCNGAAACAAATAAAATAAAATAAAATAAATAATTAGACTAGTGGAACGGCCGCACCACCAGCCTGGGGGGGTAGCCTCCCACTACATGGCGGCAGGTTTCCGAGGAGATCTCGGGGGGTTTTCTGGGCACAACGACGGCCCTCTCCGTTGTTTCGGGAAGTGTTTAGGACGGCTTCGGACGAATGGGCCGCACTTTGGTTTCGTCGACAAACGTCCGTTACTTCTCGGCGCAGAAGAGGCAGAAGTTGAACTTCGCAAACGTTTGAAAACACGACCGGTTGTATTGCACGACCTGTGGTTCGGCACAGTAGAATATGTGCGGGAGGACGGGGTTGGGACTGGAAGGGGAATACGACGAATTACTCTTGGAACATTACACTAAAGACTACATTTTCCTCCAAACCGTTCGTCTGGGACGCAAAAACCTACGAATTTTCTATTTTCGGTAAGTGAAGGTTCTGGACAAACTGCAGGCGCTTGGCACGACTTGCTGTCTCCCTCCCTCAACACCACAACACCAAGCCGTGGTTTGCTCCACAGGTGGTTCACCCCAAACCAAACCATCGATGAACGGCAAACCAACGTTGACATGCCACCCGCTCCGACATCGCTCGATCAACTCAAAACGAGTCAATCCTATTCCGTAGCACTCGCCCATGGCATGCAGAGCCGATACAAAAACCCAGACTACTGCTCCCGACCAAGTACAACGGTTTGAGAGGCATCCAGGTTGACCTCCTTCGAAACCCCACCATCTTCTATTCTTCGCCCCAAGTACCGGGTCTACTGTCTCGTCGTGGTTCCAAAGGTCCGATAACGAAGCACGCCACGAACGTCCACAGCACGTCGATCCCGTCCGAGATCAGGACACGCCACTTAACCGGGAAGCGGTTAAACGTGTAGACCTGGAGTGGGGCCAGGGCTAGCCCGATCACAACAAGCCAGAACACCAAGGTGGCGTAGTCGTCCTCGATTGTGCGGATGATCTCTTGGCTGAAAGACCTCCCCTCCAGAAGCCCGGTCGTGACCATAAACAATAGCCCAAAGATCGGGTCGAGGACCAACACGTCCACGAGGACTTGTGCTAACGCGTAGGCCTTGCTCTCCTCCGCGGGCAACCACCTTGTTTGGTAGAGGGATTTTCGAGGCAGACCATTCGGAGAGCAGCGGAAGGATGCGCCAGAAATGGGGCAACGTTTCTACTTCGTTCGGGATTGTGCATGCGTGGGCATGTTCGGAGAAGTGAAGCGCAGGCTACACCACACCAGCAGGGCGCCCTGCTCCCCAAGCAAATCGTCGCGAAAAGACCAACAGTGCTTTGTGCTGCACCTTTTCAGCGCATGCCAAAATCGCTTCAACCGACATCCTGCTGCGCACAATGCGCCACGCACGAAGTAGCGGTCAGGGTGGGCTGTCGGGAAGTCTACCTACTTCAGTGATCAACGCTGCGCTGCGCCAACGGTTTTCAGGCGGGACGGCGGTCAACACTGCCACAGGACCCTCCATCTACAGGGTGCACTCGTGAAATGGGGTTGCGTGTGTTTCTTTCGTGGTTCTTCGTGCACGTGCTCCAGGATTCGGGTCACAGAGGGTACGCCTTCGGGTTGAGGAGAACGGACATGCATCCGAGATACAGCAGGATAAAAAGATGACACATACATGTAGATAATTTCCCCACGAACACACGCGCACACACACACCTGTCCAACGCGCCGTACGCGAGGTGGAGAAGCGGGGCGCTGACGCAGAAGCCGTCGATCGCCACAGCCAGAGACTGTCGCACTGACTGCGGAGGAGGCGGAAGTCCCATCGTGGGCACGTTGACGTTCGAGACAAGCGCACATCTTATTGGTGATATACATGCTTGGTTGAACGGTCTGCACAGGCACGGTTCGTCGTCCGTACCCATCCATCTAGCCATGTTTCTTTGGGTATACAGGGCTTGTGGCAGGGCTAAGAACGTCTACGTGATGGCGCTAAGAAAAAAACAACCGTGCGTACAGGTTGTTTCTCAAAAAACGTGCGTGCGAAGTTAATTATTAGGCGACATTCCCTCGCCCGTTGTTGGTTGTGTGCCTCCCCAGGCAGGATCGGATCGACCTACCTAGACTACACATCGGATGTATCACTTGGGGCAGGTTTCGAGTGGAGTCGAGCGCAGCAAAAACAGCAAATTGATTGTACGTACATACGCCACCACACTCACGTTGGTCTCGTGCCACACTGCGTTGGCCCTACCTCCTCGAATCGCCCAATAAACCCCCTGAGAGATAACGTCCCCCAGTGCCCCCACCATAGCAGAGGTCACGCACTTCCAAATCAACGGCCGCATTTCCAGCTCGTCGGCGTATCTTCCCAACAAGTTTTCGAACCAAAGGCACGGACAACGCCTCACCCCCCGTTGTCCTTCGAATACTATCGACGTGGCGCCCGGTACATTGGTGTCGGAGGTGGGACATTTTACGTACTTCGGCGTTTGATGTTCAGGCAGCTTGCCGTTCGAAGCAGCGTTGCTTCTGCTAGCCCGGCAGTCTGGAAACGGCTTTGTTCCGGGAGGAACGACAGCCATGCTCCTAGGTTCTTGCTCATCCTTGAACAACATTTTATCTCTTCGTATCAGTTCATCCGCCTCGTCCATTCTTGTTTCTTCGATAAGTATTCCTCTAGGTGCACCTTTGTCAGGGAACGACCTTCTTCTTGTGACGCGCGGAGGCGTTGCTTTTGCGACAACGGTTTGGCCATCGTCGGCCGACTTCTGTCTTGCCAAGGAGCGAATCAAGAATGGTCTGAGAAGCGACGTTCGTGGTGCGCTTTCGCACGCGGAAGCAGGCGCCGTTGGTGTATCGCAGATACACGTGCAGTTTGTTTCCCTTCTGGCTCGTTGAAGTTCTTCCGGCACTGGATCCGCTGCATATAACGTTGGTGTTGCGATCTTTGTATGAGGAGGAGGACGAGGACGAGGACGAGGACGAGGACGAGGAGCGGGAGGAGGAGGAAACATCTCGTCGTTGTCCGTCTTGCTTTTCCCGTAGATAGATCTAGCTGCCACCGACGTACATACCCCTGTAGAGCCACCTTCTGCCTGGCTGGGTGTCCTATATGCCACTGTCCACCGTACGAACTTACCCGTGCGGCAGCCTATCTTCCTTGCCGATATGTTGCGTCGTCACCGTCTCTGCTGGTCCTCCGGAGCGTTCTGAATACTCTCATCTCAATCAATGGATCCAGTCACTTTCACACGGTCCGTGGTCGTGCAAAGCGAGGCTTCTTTCTCAACCGTGAGTGTATGAACCTACTGTGTAGTGTATGGCAAATGAATCTTGCCTGCCGTGTCCCGCTACAGCAGTACCTGGACTTGCTCGTTTGTCGTTCCTTGTGCTGTGAGTTTCGCGTGAGATTGCAGCCGTCGCTGTTAGCTCGGGCTGGTGCTACTCTCACGCGGGTCCGTACACTGAGAGCAGAGTGGTGCACTGCGTCAGGAAAGAATTTGTGCCCCTCAGACGATGGAGAACATATACTCCAGTCGTCCACCCGCGCGCAGACCGTAGATCGTGGCGCCAACCGCCAACATGAACCGGTGCATTTTTTCGTAGATCGTGTGCGGGGAAATGTCACCCCATTCCGTAGATCGCGTAGATCACAGCGGCAAGCACCGCCGCCAAAAACAGAATTCGCTGATGCTATGGATTCATTGCTTATCTATCTTAGACTTTTTTCTTCGATAGAGATGGATACGCTGGAACTCTCTGCTCACCCAGAGTAGCGGGCTCCGTAGAAACGCAGAACACGCGCCGACACCCCAAACAAATCTGCCAGAACCACATGACCACCGACCGGTTTAGTGATATCGCACTCTCTCGGGCGGCCACTTCGCAATTCGGTCGAAACACGAAAATACGACCAAATATTGGTGGCAGTTAACGCGCATGACGTCCGGACCTTGGTGCCGACGGAGCCTAGTCTATGTAGCGAGCATGCGGGCATTGTAGGTATCGATTGCCGTGTGCCACGGCTGCTTGCCCAATTGGTTTTTTTCCATGGTGCGATGGCGTCGCGGACGGGGATAGAAATGTACTGCTCAAGACTCCAAAATCCCCGTTGATTGATTTGGTGTGACGCCGCGTCACGAATTCATAGATAGGTTGTACATAGGTTACACTTCTGTTTTTTGTTTCTCCCATCATTGGACTCTGTCGCTGCCCCCCTGGCCCCTATCCTCCCCTTCTACTAGCTAGACGGCCCAACCGCTCGTTGCTGGCGTCACGGCGAACGGAAACTAACAAAATGACGAAGGTGGTACTGCTGCTGCATGTATTCATTCTGCTTGTCGCCGTTTCTGGGTACGCACGACGCGGACGGCGTATTTTTTTTGTAGCGAGCACGGTTGGCATCCACATGTAGTTGTTTGTGGTGATAACGAACGGTGTTGGTGCCTCTCGCGGAAGCCAGACGACACAGAAGCTTTCGCGCCTCCGAAGAGTGGTTCGCCTTCGATTCTTGGGAAAGTCCAACAACGATCAATCAACCGCTGCACGACACGAACTAGTGACTCAAGTCCGCGCTCTTCTTGTTCCTTCACGGTTGTTTGGCTGTGTCTCGTTCGTTTATCGTACTTGCTGCGATCCTCCGGGGTTGTATAGTAGACTTTAATCTAGAACAGGTACAGTCCTCCACGCACATGATAATACGGAAATCAGCCGAAGGGCAAAAACACACCCAAGGCACGAACAAATCTTCCAAGCACAAAACATACAGCCCGCGAGTACACCTGCCACCACGAAACAAAAGCCGGCGGCCTAAGCTAACGGGCAACAACCTACCGTACATGACACAAGATAACACACCCGCTGGACCGATTTTCAAAGCTCGATTACTCCACGGCGAAGAGGATGCATAAACGAAACGATACATTTTCGACAAGCTCTCGACGAGACGGTTTCAACGCCGCCGTTTTCGGCGCTGCGACTGTTCCGGCAGTTGAGAAATCGAGCTTCGAAAATCGGTGCAGGGGGTTTGTTATCTTGTGTCATGTACGGTAGTCTGCTCTCCGTCCGTCTGACATTCACGCTCTCAGTTAGGCACCTCTGTTCACCCCGTCTCGTCACGCTAGCAGTTCCCTCGGTCACTTGTCTGGTGCTTCCGAGCGACAAACCCGCCCCATCTACAGCGGGGTCCTGCCAGATCCACCGGCACTATATACCGGGGCACCGGGCGCCATTCAGAGAATCATACAGTTTGAATATTCCATCCACGTCACGCAATGTTACGGGCACTAAACCGGGTAGTGGCACTATGCAACCGGCACTACCGAGGGCCCCCCGCTATTGTACTTTGAAACGCCACCCGTTCTCACCCGTGGCAAGTCCCGACCGATAACCGCTTCCAATTGGAAACCCCACACAATTCTTCGTCGAAAAAACCTGTTGATCAACGTCGTCAGACGCTTATCCTGCTCCGTTTTGTCGAACCACGCCCACAACAAAGACAAGATGCTGGGGGTGTTTTCCTGAGGTCGCTGTCGTGACGACTGGTACCGCATCTTTCCCCCCCAACAACCCTCACTCTTACCGCCAAGGCTGTACCCACGCAGGAGAGCGCAGGTGCGGCCGGCCACCATGCACGACGTCAAGATATGTAGCAACACCTCAAGCGGCCCCGCGTAATCCTTGGTTTGGCTCACCTTTCTGCACCACCGTGCACAACAACGCCACTCAAACAGAACCCGTGCAGTAATATACTAACGCACCCTTCCTCAAACATTCTTCGCGGAAATCAGACCGCGATTTCTCCCCAGAATGTTTTTCTCATGCGCGCAAGACACGGACCAAACGATCGAAAGGTTGAAGAAACATTTGGTGCTCGCCACAAAGCTCAACGCGAAACAACGGGCACGCCAGGCTCAACTTCCGCTCCAAGGTCTCGCCGTCGCCACCACAAAACATCAAAACACAACATCCGTCAAACCGACCGGCCCAACAAAAACAAAAACGAACTGACTCTGGTTGCCGGGTCCCGCTCGCATCACAGCAGCGCCGGCGGCCAGCCTATCAAGCAAGGACAGTGGGGTCCTAACCTTCGAAGACCCTCACGGTCACAAACTTCCTCGCTACAGCTGACGGGAACGGGCAGTTCAGCTTTTCTTTGGTCGGTGGCGCTTGGTGTAGAAGTCGCTCGCCCCGACAGCCCGGGATCCCGCAGCGGCGGCTTGCGCGGCGGCGGTCTTGGTCCTCTCCGCCCTCTTCTTGCCGCTGCCGCCGCCGCCCCCGCTATTCCTGCCGGCGATGACGATGCCTTCAAGCGGACCAGTGTCGGGATTCCATCGCTCAGGGCTGCTATTGCCGCCGTCGCCGCCCCCATCGGTGTTTGACGGCTTCTTCACAACGGCGAGGTTCGCCTAGGAGACACGGCAAAATCACAACGCAACACATGNGACGGAGCACGCCGGGTTCTCACCGGACCAGGCTCTCACATCACCAAGCGCGAAGCGCCATGAGGTATTCGGCGAGTTGCATGAAGGGTGCGCTGCATCCTGCTAACGGTGTTCGGCATCTTGTGCTTACTTCCTTGCTACGGGTGACAGCTGCGTACGACTTATTTATTTTCTGGTGCTTTCACTTCCAGAGGGAGTTGTAAGCGCTGTGTAACTGCGTCGAGGGTGCTTGACCAATTTAACACAACGTGGTGCAATAATCCCCCTTGCGCGGAGTGAGGTTTCTCGACCCCGCACAACACAATCTACTCGCAAACATACTGCATGTATAGAATCCGCTAGTGTACGTTGGATGTAGCTATTTTAGGGCAAGGCTTACAAGGTCTGCGTGCGCCCTGCGTAGCCTTTCCAATGTCGTAATAACTTTTTTGTTCTCTTTGCGTAGGTAGCAGCCCGCCTTGAACACCAGCGTCCAACACAACACCTGCTACACCCCGACGAGCCGCCACGCCGGCTCAACTCACCACGCGAGGCTTCGCCCCGACGCCGCGGGTCTTGGGCTCGTGACCACCCCCGCCGCCACCGCCACCGCCAGGAGACTCTGCTGCGTCTCTACCACCGCCGTTCCTGCGGTTCTTGTCGACGCGTTTGTTCCGCTTGCTTCTCGAATTTGGCCCGACATCGCCGCCGCCGTCGCCGCCGTCGCCGTAGTCGTAGTCGTCGTCCTGGTAGGGGAGGGTAGAAGGGGACCGGGCCCTCTTTCTCGTGGAACCCTCGCCGCCGGCCGGTGCGGGGAGCGGCGCCGCCGGCGGTGGTCGGGAGGGGTAAATGCCCGCCGCCGACGGCTCTTCTTCGTGATCCTTCTGCCGTGTTGCGGGAAGCGCCGTGCGGCAAGGGCGGTCGGGGCGGGGGTAACTCGGCACCAGAAGAAAAGGCAACTGCGGGATATAAGACGCACCACCGACAACACTGTTCTTCTCGCGGGACGGACAGAATGGGTGTGGGGTTGTTTTTCAAGGACAAGCGGTGAAAGATTCCATTATGAGGGCTCGACAATAAATAAACGAACACAAGGGATCCATCGATCGCACCTTCCCGTCTCCCTTGCTCTTGCTACCCTTGTCCTTGTCCTTGTCCTTGTCTCTCTTCTTCTTCTTCTCCTTCTTCTCCTTCTTCTCCTTCTTTTGCTTCTTGTCTTTCCTGCCACCGCCGCCGCCGCCCTCCGGCGAACCACCCTTTCCGCCGCGGTCTACGTACCCCGGTTCGTCGGAAGCTCTGTCGTGAGGCCCATCTATCCTTCTTCCACCATCACCCTCGCCGCCGCCTCCGCCGCCGCTAGCGGCATCCGGGTATCCCCGACCATCGTGGCGCGAGCTGCGCCTGGGAGGGGAGAGGCGCTCCTTGCCCCCGCCAGGGTCGCCGTCTCGGGAGGACGCCCTCCGCCTGCCATCGCCGGGGCTGTTGTTGTAGTCGTTGTCCTTGTTGCCGCCCCCGCCCCCGCCGCCGCCCCCGCGTGATCCTTCTTGGCTGTGGTGGTGGCGGCGATCGGCTTCCCGCGAGTGGTCGCGGCGCTTCTCCCTTCCCCGGCCCGGGCTGCGGCTTCCGTCCCTCCGTCCCGNCCTCCTCCTCCTCCTCCTCTTCCGTCTCCGGAATCTCCACGGTCCCTTCCTCTATCCCGCCCGCCGCTGCCTCTGTCCCGCGAGTCCCTGTCGTCGCCGCCGCCGCCTCCGCCGCCGCCGCTGCTGTTTCTGCGCTTCTCGTGGCGGTCAACTCGACTGCTACCCCCCCCGCCGCCGCTACCGCCATCGCGCTCCCGGCTCCGGTTGCGATGGCCGTCGTCTCTGCTGCGCCCTCTGTCTGCTCCTCCACCGCTGCGCCTGCTCCACCCGTCCCCGCCGCTACCCCTGCGGTCGCTGTCGTTGACGCTGCTGTTTCGACTTCTCCCTCGTGAAGAAGGAGGAGGGTTGCGGGGCAGCTCCTCTACGCCTCTGTCCCTGCTGTCCGACCTGTCACCGCCCCGGTCTCTGCTGCCACCCCTGCCCCTCCTGTTGTCCCTGTCCCTGTCGTCAGCCCCGCCCCTCCTACTACTCTCCCTGTCCCTACTGTCGGCCCCGCCTTTCCTCCTACCGACGTACCCGTCTCTGCCGTCAGCGCCGCCGCCCCTGTCTCTGCTGTCCGCCCCGCGTCGGCCGCCACCGCCGGTGGCTTGACCCCGGGCGGCCGCGTCGTCGGCGTAGCTGTGGCCGCCACCACTGCCCCTTCTCCCGCCCCCTTGCCGCTGGTGCTGTTCCGGCACAGGAGCGTTCGGGCCGTAGACTCCAAGCCCATCGTCTCTTCCTCCCCCCCTGTTATTGTTGTCCTCCATCCAGCCTTGGTTCCCCCGCCCTCCCCCCCTGCCACCGTGCTGCTGAGGGTAGTGACCACGGCCGCCTGCGCCTCGTCCCCGCCCTCCTCCTCCGCCACCCCCGTATTGACCGGGCCCGCCGCTGCCGCCGCCGCCACGCCCTTGCCCCGCCCACCCACCCCCGCCTCCGCCTCCTTTCCGGTCGACCGCGTGGAGCCAGGTGCATTTGTTGCCTTGGGTGCACTTCCCCTGCAGGAAGTACTTGCAGGTTCTCTGGCGATACCCCCCGCCACCGCCGCCACCGCCGCCGCCGCCGCCGCCTCCCGAAAACGGAGGCGGAGGAGGCGGCAGAAACCCAGGGTGGTCACCCTGCTGCTGGTACTGGCCGTGGTGGCCTTCGAGCGGGGGGTGGTCTCCCGCCATCATGCCGCCGCCGCCAGGACCTCCACTTTCGCCTTGCTGTCGCTGCCACCCGTCCGATAACGGCGCCCCCCCGCCGTCGCCGCCGCCGCCGCCGTACGGCGGCCCGCCGTCCCCGCCAGGACCTCCGTCCCGGTGTCGGGGAGGGCTGCTGCTGCCGCCGCCGTGTTGAGCGGGGCCGTCGCGAGGCTCTCCGCTGCTGCCCCCCCCCGCGTGGGCGGGGACCGCCGACTGGTCGTCGAGCGAGGGGTGCCTGTCCGACGAGAGGTTGCCGTTGTCTTCTCGAGCGGGCGGGGTTTCGTGTGCCGCCGCCCGATCGTCCTGCCCGTCCTTGGCTGAAGCCGGCGCCGTCCTGGCGGGGGCGGCGCCAGTCGGGGCGTTGTCGTCGCCGCCGGCGCCGTTTCCATCTGTCGCAAGAAAGGGCGGTACATCGAAGCACGTCGTCCGGGGGGGGGCACGGGAATGTCAAAGATGGGTGGGAATGGACAGTGAAACGCATGGTGGAGGAGCCACGTATGCACAAGAGAGGCAAGCATGAGATAATTCGGCACGTGCGTACGTCTTAGAAAGGCGGAAGGGAAACCAGAGATAGATACAAGGTGTGCTGCTTGCTCACGTTTGCCACCGGAGTCCGACGAGACGGCACCATCATCGTCTCCCGCGGGTGGTTGGGACGGCACCTCCGCCCCGCTCGTCCGGGGCAACCCTCCGGCTTGCCCATCGCCGGAAGGTACCAACGGCTGCTGCTGCTGCTGCTGCTCCGTTCCTTCCGTCCCCGCGGCCGCCGCCGCCGCCGCCGCCGCCGCCGCCTTCTCGACCCCGATCTCCGTCCTCAGCTTGGCCCAGGCCTCGTCCTTCTGCTCGGGCGTCAGGCTCTCGTCGTTGCTGACGTGCTTGAGCTGCTTCTTCCTGTTCTTCCTCTTCCTCTGCTCCGCCGCCTTGTCCGCCTTGTGGTTGTTGTTGCCAGTGCGCCCCCTGTTCAGCGGACCGGCCCCACGCCCGCCACCGCCGGGCCCGTTCATCGGACCACCGCCGGCAATCGGCATGAAACCAGGTCCGGCATCGCCCCCGCCCAGCGCTCCTCCCCCTCCGCCACCCCTGCCGCGCGGAAAGTGACCGCCCCCGCCCGCCCCCGTCGGGGGCATGTTTCCACCGCCGCCGGGGCCCCCCATAAGAGCACCTGGGGGGCCGACGTTCATGCCGCCGCCCACGTTATCTGAGGAAAAAACAAGGCGGTGGCGACGTCAATGGAACTTCGATCAAGACTCATGTGTTTGTAGATGGATGCGGAGCACGTGGTGTGGACGGCGCCAACAAAGATGAAAGAAAGCAGCGGGGATAGTCCCGAGAAAATGGAGATACACTGGAGGAAGCGAAGAAAGGGGTGCAGCCGACCGTTCCAAATACCAGAGAATATTCACCCAATTCAACTCTCGACCTCACCTGCCGTAGGTACGACGGAGTGCCTCTTTTCCCATGCGGGAACGGGAAGACAGCACACAAACAACAACAAAACTAATCGGGGAGGGACCACGTACTAGGAGGAATCAGCACGAACACAGGAAGACTACCCGTTCGAGATGTACCCACAGTCCAACGGGATGTGTTGGGAGTCTTTTTGGTGTTGAGCGTACCGCTGTGCCCTGCACGCAACTAAGCGGTCAATACATAACAAGCACCGGTAGGAATCAACGGCCCGGGACGACCACGACAACATCAAAAAGAGCGAGAGAGAGAGGAACAAACATGACCGTAAAACAACCACCAGTCAGCAACTGCGCAGAGAGCGTCGCGACCAGCCTTCTGCCGTACCCTGGGGGAACGGCGCCATGCGATTTCCAGCAGGGCGGTCCATGCCAGGCTGCTGCTGGCCGCCGCTGCCCATTCCTCCTCCTCGCCCAGCACCCCGCGCCTGCTGCTGCTGCTGGGGTAGAGGGCCACGGCCGCCGCCGCCCCTAGCTGCCATGTCAGGGAGCGGGCCGCGGCCTCCCCCTCCGCCTCGCTGGTTCACCTCCCCCCCCGAAGGCTGTTGGTTCATCATCGGCAGTTGCCGTTGCTGCTGCTGCTGCTGCTGCGCTCCTGCTCCTCCCCGGCCATGCATCGGAGGAGGAGCGCCGCCACCGCCTCGGCCACCGGTGCCGCCTTCGCGCGACATAAGCTCGCCCTGCCCCCCCGCCGGGGGCGCCGGCGGTCCACGGAGCCCTCCCCCACCCGCCGGGCGGCCGGCCGAAACCATCCCTCCTCGTCCCGGCGGCTCGTGCCTCATGCCCCCACCTCCCCCGTCTCTGGCAAGAGGTGGCCCGCCTAGATGGCCGTGGCTGCTCGGATCGGTTAACAGTCCTCTGCCTCCTCTGCCGCCGCTGTCGGCACCGCGGCCCATGTTGTTCGGCCCGGGGCCACGTCCACCTGCCATGCCGCCGCCGCCACCGCCCGGGGGACCCCCCCTCCCCTGCTGCTGCTGCTGCTCGCGATGCATGGGAGAGCTGGGGCTCATCCCGAGTCCGCCACCTCCGCCGCGGTTTCCCCCCGGACCGTTTCTCCCGGTCGGTGCTCCTCCCCCCGCTCCCGCCGCCGCCGCCGCCGCCCCCGGCGCCATGCCGTGAGGCGGCGGCAGCCGTCGCGACGGCTGCTGCTGCTGCTGGCGTTGTCCTCCAGGAGGAGGGCCTCTGCCTGCGGCGGCCCCGTCTTGGCCCGCGAGACCGCCCCGCATGGGGGATCGCGAGTGAGAGTGCGACCCCGTCCCACCGCCGCCGCCGCCGCCGCCGCCTACGCCTACGCCGCCGCGCGGGGACGGCCCATCCCTCAGCATCAGGGGGGGGGCGCCACCCCCCGCCATCCCGCTGTTGCGCTCGCCGGCGCCCTGCCCCATCGGTGGCGGCGGCGGCTGTCGCAGAGGGAGACCGGCCCGTCCGTCGCCGATGTTGCCGCCTCCCTGCCTGTTCATGCCCCCGCCGCCTCCGCCGCCGCCGCCGCGCATGCGGTCTCCTGGCGGTCCACCTGGGACGGGGTGACACAAACATGCACGAAACAAAATACATATGATCGAATATGAACGCTTTGGCTATACATACCAACGACTCCTGTCCATCCATTTTTTTTTCTTACGAAGGGGCAAGTTGAGGTTGCTCATCCAAGGCACAATATTGAAGTACCTGCCTACCAACGGCGGTTTTGGGTGGCTACGCGTCACGAGTCGAGAAAAGCTTCCGCATGCACAAAACACCGTCAACAACGCCGTCAGTCACGGCAGCGCCAAACATGAAAAACGCTCCCGAAATAACTTCGGGAGGGCAGCATCACGGCCCAAACGAAGAGTTCCGCGGAATAAACACTCGCAAACATAATCCGAAGAATAGCTTAGTCCGAGCTCATGGCATCTAGAAGTGTCTTGTGTTTTTTCCAACGCAGTGGCACTGACGTCTTCTCATTGGCAGCCGGATAGCGCGGTCGATCCTACGAACAAAGACACACAAACACGCCTGCGGCCCTGCCGTGTAGGGAGAACCCTCACCCAGTAATTAGAAAAGTAATCGTGTTTTTATCCCGCAACAAGACTGACGCCATGTCTCTTTAATGGTCCGCCGGCTAGCGCCGTCGATTCTAAGCAAGAAAACACACACATACACACAAAGGGACCTGCAGCAAAAAACGTACCATGCGGTGCCCCCCCGCCTCCTCGCAACTCTCCACCCGGCGGTGGCCCCACGTTGTTCTCGCCGCGGGGCCCCGGGGCGTTCCCGCCACCCAACCGATACCCACCCCCTGTGTCTCCTCCAGCCATTCCGCGGGGCCCCATCGGGCTCATGTGGCCCCCGACCGGAGGCCTAGCACCAGTACCACCACCGCCGGTGTTTCCAGACGACCGCGCGCCTCCGCCGCCGCCTCCTCCTCCTCCCATTCCCGGTGGCGGTCCGTCGAAGAACGGCGTGTTACCGCCGCCGCCTCCTCCGCCTCCGCCTCCTCCGCCGCCACCGTTGATGGCGCCGCCGTCGGGGCTGTTGGACATCTGGCCACCGGGGCCGGGGCCGCTACCGCCACCGCCGCCGACCCAAATGGGCCCTGCTCGAGGGCCTCCGGGCATCGAGCCGTTCATGCCGGGAGATCTGAGAAAAATGGGGGGTTGGGGGGGGGGGG